CAGCACTCTTCTGTCATGCTGTGCCGAGGTAATCTGGGTTTGCTGTGATGCTGAATCTTGTACCATTGGGGGGGTCAGATGCCATCATGGCTGCCCATGGTAAACAGTGTTTGGTGGAGTTCCCAGTTTTGAGGTGGGTTTGGAAGCAGGAGTGACATCCACGTCCTAAACCACATGCCTGTGGAAACTATGAACTTAGAGAAACGATAGTTACAGAAGAGCCTCAGGTCTTTGGTTCATAGAGTCGCTGTGAGTGGTTTCCAACTTTATGGCAATCACCAACAACAGTACCTATGACAGTATTTATTGACTGAATGTATATATCCAGATTTTATTAATGTTTGAAAGTGCTAAGGATGGCCATGTGCTTATTCCTAACTGGAATGGCCTTACTCTGTATTTTGCTCAAGACATTCATACTTCACTTGATTCTCTCAACATCTCTGTTTATGGAAAGCTCAAGGAGTCAGAACTAATCATAATTGTCTTCAGCATAAGAGATCTAAATGAATTTCAGTGTGCTCAATAGGATTTAGAGGATTTACAGGCTTACAGCCTCAGGGTTGACTCCTGTCCAGAAATACTTTAAACTGCCAGTGTTAAATTATTCTGTAACTACATAAAGCATATGTCATCTTCATAGTTTGCCATCCTAGAAGTAATTGTGTTCATGTTCACTATAACCCATGGTGAAAACACAAAGATTATTGACACATCAGGACTATGTATTATTTGCTAAATATTGTTTACTTTGAGAGTCAGGAACAGAAAATGGATCTGTGAAAAACTGTCAGACTAATGGAATCCTCTTATTTCTTGCCATATAAATTAGTCAGGTAAAAATATGTAAATATAAGTATCTTTACAATTCCTTACACTTAAAAGGATTTAATATCCAGCAGAGAATGGCCGCTGCCTTTTTGATGAAAAGATGACTCAACTTAATGGGAGGAAGAGTCTTCTACTGAAGAATGGGCTATGAAACTATGTCCTCAAAGTTCTCTCAGCACTTTGGGGAAGTTTGTGTGTGAAAAAGGCAATGAAAAATTGTGGACCTTTTCTTAATGCCCAGGAAGTGGCTAAGAATAGATAAGGAAACTAAGAGAAAATAGGAAATAAAAATATGGTCTTTAGCATGGAAAAATGATATTTGGTCCAGTGTGAGAACTAATGTACTTCTGTTGTATTTGAAAATATTAAATGTTTACTTTATGTGCTGTTTAAATAGGTAATTCAAAGGATAAATGTCTCACTGTGACATTCTTTAATTTTTGAACATAGTAAGCCATATCTTTTCTTTTAAGTAATCTTTAATTAATCTTTAGTTATTTTTTTATGTGGCATAGACTTTGAGATGCTCACACCCTTGCTTCGTTATTTTGTATTCAATAACTTCCAGTTTGAAATTTTCATTTTCAATTGTACTTTCAGTTACCGAGTATGGCTTAGCTGACATACTGTGCAGCAGTAATAGTATATTATTGACTTGTTGTGAGAGGTGGAAATGGTGCAGAACAACCAGTTTAGAGCCCTGACTGGCTGACCACTAACCACAGGTTCCTGAGTGGTCTGCACCAATGTGATACTCTGGACTAGTTTACCTTTATTTATTAATTGATGCTGGAAACTTTTACGTGATGTCCAAGGGGAAAACAGTTACCATTTTTCTTTGTTTTTTTCTCTGAGGTGTCAGACCCTTTAAGAATGAGTTCCAGGACCTGCTGTTTCATAGGAACTGGATATGAGGAGAAAAGACCACAAAGGGAAGATGTAAAGGACATACTGTGTAGAAAAGAGGTTTTTGACCTCTTTGTTGTTTGCTCACCATCATGTCCCCTTAAGTGTCTTTTGTTGCTGCTGATTCTTTTTTTGTAAGATGAATTCCTTACTCTTCTCTTGTGAAGAGGAAAGTGAGGCGTGCAGGTTAACGCTATATTACTGTTATTAAAGTATGGGTTTTTTTGTTTTGGTTTTTAAAAAAAATTTATTTACAGTGCATTTTTCTATTAGAAAATTAATAGTACCCTTCACTCTGGGTATCTCTAGAGGGTTAGTGGGTGAAGAATTGCACTGCCAACCTAAAGGCAGGCAGTTTGAATCCACCAGCTGCTCCCCATGAGAAAGATGGGCAGTCTCCTCCTTTGTGATTTACTGCCTCTGAAAACTGGCTGGAGGGTCAGCTATGAGTTAAGTTTCAACACCACAGTACTTAACAACAGCAGCAGCATATATGCTGTAATTTCTATAAAAAGAAACTCAAGCCTGCCATTCTTGTCTATTTTTTTAATTAAATTTTATTAGTTTTAATGAACATTTACAGAGATTTTGGGTTTTCATTCATTCATAGTTGCACTGTTTTCTCCACCCTCATCCCCAGTTCGTTCTTCTTCCCCCTCCATGTCTGTTTTAATTGCCCAATTGCCACAGTGCTTGTCAAAGCCAGTTCTGATTAATCTCCTTTGTCAGTGTGTCCCTTGCCATTCCCTATCACTCCTCCCTGAGAGAGACTTCACCCTGATTCATAAGGAAAAGGGGATGGTGTATTCTCTTAGCCACTTCCTGCTGAAAAGGGACGCTGTGGGTTTCAGGGTGAAGGTCTTCTCTCACTACTCTAAAGGGCCCCTTTGGCAATAGGAAACACATAGACTATTATGGAGATTGATTTTGGAATTTAGATGCACTGTTATCAATTGTGCTTAGCCGTACATGTTCATATCCTTGAAGATGTATCATGGAAGTGTTGCAGCCTAGAAGATACAAATTTAACTAACAAGTTAAAAGTGCATGAGTCAAAAATTGAAAAGCAATAATATTCTGAGTAGAGGTTCTAATAGTGGCACAAATCAAGTTACAGAGGTAAGGTGGTTCCATTGCCATCCTTACTCTAACTTAATTCTTTTTTCTTTTAATTTAAATTTGTTTGATGTTTACCAGAACAGCAGTTTTTCCACTACATAGATTACTGTTCACTTCTACACCTATCAACTATAATCTGCTAATGTTTTGTTTATTCTGTGACACATCCATATTTTATCCTCACTTCTTCCCAACTCATGCATAGCTTTACATACATATGTATTTCTGGACCATTTTTTAAAGGATACACACACACACACACACACACACACACACACACACACAAAACTAATGCAGTGTGTAATATTTTTATTTAAATTATGCAATTGAAATAAAAAAGTAAGATTACCATTTAATGAGCACAGTTACATTTTTCTGTGGAGATAGTAGGTAAGACAAATGACTATGTTTTTGCTTATTTGGGTCATATTTAAATACTATTTTTATTTAAAATTATTTAATTTTACCTTACTAGAAGAATCAAACAGAATAAGGAATTTTTATACTTCATGTAAATAAATGTGTATTTATCATAAGAGGTACCATTCTGACAAAGTAGTTCTGTGATTAAGAAATGGAAATAAGGCGAGCTCCGGTGGCCCAGTGGCAGGAAACTGCACCGCAATCCCAGAGGTGCGCGGTTCAAATCCACCAGATGCTCTGCTGAAGAAGGAGGAACAATCGCCTCCTGTACCAGTCAGATCCAATTTGACGGTACACACATATAAAAAATAAATAAAAAAAAAGGAAATGGAAATAGTACGAGACCAGACAGTAGTTCTTAAAAAAAAATAAAAAGCCATAGTCTTTTAATTTTAGACACATAATTTTTCTGTCCTGCTGTGAAAAAAAAGGTAATTGGCATTCTCAGCCCTCCACCCTCTCTTTCTTTCCTGATTTCCTTGTGTCAAAATACATTCTCAGGCTTAAAAATAAGTATATCTTTACAAGTGTAAATTGAGCTTATTAATTTGGGAACCAAGTGACAAAGTCTGAGAAATTGTTATTTACAGTGGTGGTGGTGGTGTTACAGGTGTCCGTTGTTGCATGAGAAGGCTGGGTCTGTGACGCCAATAACCTTGTAGTTATTCTCTCTACAGGCAAACTACTTCAGTTTCTAAAAATTTCATTTGTATACTAACAATTTTAACATAAACGGGCTGTAGATGCTGATGTTTGGTGCAGTCAAGTAATGCTGCGACATAACGACCCTAAGTAGAACAGAATAGATCACTAACCAGTTCTGCGCCATCTTCACACGGTATAAGCAGGCATGTGTTCCCCCAGTCAGATGGCATTAAAGATGGAATTTTAAGTCAGTAATTTAGTATGACTTTGAAAGTCCCTCAGTAATTTATTTTTAAAAAAAACACCAAAAAACAAAACAGAAAACACCAAAGCTCTTAAGTAGATGTTTTTATTTATTGTTGGAAAGATTTCTGTTACTTGCACTATTCCATAAGAAAGCACACTTTTTAACATAGTTTTATTTGTAAATAGTTTAAATACTCATGACTAGTTTTTATCATAATTTTTAATTCATATATTTATATTTTGAGTCATTCTTGATTTTACTGTTATATTAAGTGATTTTTTTTTCCTTCTTAGGAGAGCATGTAAGTTTTTGAATCATGAAATTAAAAATTTGCCTCATATCTTTATATGTGAGTGGGTAAACTGCATTGTATCCTTGGATACTGACTTTTGTTTCCTTAGTATATTTTCCTTTTTAGTTAGTTGGCCCATTTTATTTTTCTTTTTTCTGTTTTACCCTTAAAGCTCAACAGTTTAGTCAGGGCAAAGTGAATCTCCCAATCACTCATCTATTTTTAACTAGTTATTATAGTAATTGTCATGATTTGATGGCACAACCTGTTTTCAGGAAAATGTTTATAGATTACTGCTAAATGTAAGGTGTCGTTTTTCTTCTCCCTCTAATATCATTGGTAAACTATGTGGACTGTTAAACTAAAGCATGTAAGATCATTAGTAGCTAATGGGAAAATTTAGTTGTGTGCAATATAGCAAAACGAGAAGAAATCTATGCCAGTTTTTAATCTAAATTTTAATCTCACATCTATTGGAATACAGAGTTGTTATTCACTCCATTAGATTTCAGAACATTTTTCCTAATTTTACATTAGGTTCAAGGAGCAAGTTTTCGAGGTTGGAAAGAAGTGACTTCTTTGTTTAATAAGGATGATGAACAACATTTACTGGAAAGATGTAAATCTCCCAAATCTAAAGGGTAAGTCAAATGTTTAGAAAATGATCATTTAGTGAGAAATGTGAAATCACTCAGGAAGGTAGAAAATGATTGTGTTAACTTTAGAATTAAAGTTTATTTTAAAGTTGCTTGTGAGTTAGTTACATGGTTAGTTTTCTCTAATTAAACATATAAAACATTAAGGTAAATTATAGAACATATTATTAGATGCCATTACGACTCAGTGAACAACGGATCTGAGCCCTGTGCTGTCCTGTGCCATCCTCAAAATTTCTGACATAGTTGAGCCCGTTGTTGCAATCGCTGTGTCAGTCCGTCTAGTGGTGGATCTTTCTCTCTGGCCGATCCTCCACCTTTTCCAAGCCTGATGTCCCTCTCGAAGGAGTAACAGCATGCCCAAAGTAGATGAGGCAAAGTTTCATTATTTTTGCCTTCAAAAAATACTCTAGCTGCACCTTTTCGAAGACATAGCTATCTCTTTCTAATATCACACTTCAAAGGCATCAGTTCTTCTGTCATTCTTATTCATTGTTCTGCTCTCAGATACATAGCAAGTGATTGAAAAGACCATGGTCTGAAGCAGGTTCTTGTTAGTCCTCACATTGACATTATTGTTCCTCAGTAGACTTTAGGAAATTAAATATATGTAAACAGGCTTGCTGCTGTTTTATTATAAGTAATATAAAATTTTAAATACCGTATTTAAAACTGAAAATACAAACTAAGACCACCTGATATTCTTCATCTCTCTCTCTTTTTAAAAAAAATCTTTTCAAACAAAAGAGACTTGTATTTTTTTTTTTTTGTTATTGTTGTTGTTTGGAACACTTTGTGTTAAAAAAACTAATTTTAATGAAAGTTTACAGAGACTTAGGGTTTCCAGTCATTCATTGTTGCACTTTTCTCCCTCCCCCCCACAATTTACTGTTCTCCTTGAAAAGAAAAACTCTTTCATTGTCATGTAGTCCCTTCCCCCAAGTCCACTTCACTATGCAGCCTTCACTCTGGACTTCTGTAATGACAAGAATACCCAGTCATATATCCCTTTTAAACAGTTCTCTCCCTCATCTGTTTCAATGCAATATACATCATTCCTCCCCTCCTTCTCTGTTTTCCCTGATGTCAGTCCTCTTACAATAGTGGTCCTAATGCAATATTTAAAGTCCTTTGTGACTGAGAACCTGATATTCTAAACAAACATGGTTACTCAGTGACCCTGAAAGTCAAGGATTGGCTGAAGAGGTTTTAAAATTGTAATCACTTAAAGGATTCAGTTTTATTTGAGGAATCTAGATGCTTTAACAATACTATGCTGCTTAAGGACCCAACTTCACTCTGGCTTCCTGCATCAGACTTTCTTTTTCTGTGGGGAACAATGTATATCCTTTCTACTCTCAGGATTAATATACCAGTGCCTATGAGATCTGACTGGACTGCATGCTAGAGTCTTCTGCGGGTTTTTATATAAATGTAGTACCTATGCCATGGCCCCTCCTCAGACCAATTAAATGAGAGTTTTTAGGAGTAAGACCTGGATATTGATAGGTTTAGAAATATTTCCCTGGTGATTCTCCTATAGAGTCAAGATTGAGCACCACTCATCTACATATGATGGTTCTGTACATTTTTGTTTTTATTTATGGTGATGTATCTTTATTAGGAATATGCCATTTTCTCTCCTTGTGTATTGTTTCCTGGATATTCCACATTATGGAGATGTCCATGTCCCTTACATAAAATAGAGTAGTACTAGAATTTAACTCATTCACATCCTCTCTTTTTAAACAAACAAAATCATTGCTGTCAAGTCAGAAACAACTCATAGCCTATCTCCCAATGAATTTTGCAGAGGCTATAAATTGTACAAGAGGAGATTTCCCCCAGAGCAGCTGCTAGATTTGAACCACTTTTTCTAAGGTTTGGCAGGTCAACTCCCTACCCACTTTGGCACCAGGGCTCCTAAAATCATATCTAAATATTTATAATACCTATTACACAGGAAATGTTAAGTAAATTACATTTTAGACTCTGGTGGCCAAGTGATAAGAAACTGTTGCAGTCCTGTGGCACATAGTTTAAATCCACCAGCTGCTCTTGGGTAGAAGGATGGACAGCCTCCTCCTATACGATTTACTGCCTCTGAAAACCTGCTGGAGGGTTAGCTGTGAGTTGGTTCCGATTCAGTACCCACAACAGTTTAGCCTCTGAGGGATTTCTTTGACTGCTTAATTGCCTCTTCCCTCAGTATTTTCTATTTTTGGTTGGTTGAATGCATGAATGCAGAGCTCATGGATTTAGAGCACTAACTTCCTTTTATAGTGGAGAGTGGGCTGAGTTTAATTTTTGTTCAAGAAATCACCTGTCTAGTGCTTGAGATTAGTTTGCCATCGAAAACTCTATTGAAAAATACATTCTGGTAACTGGAATAATTCCTTTATCCTCTATTTCTTAATCTTCCCTCTTGTCATATACCTAGTTTTCTTAATTAAACCTGAATGATACTTTTCATATTACTTCAAAAAAATTACCTTCCTTTGTTTTTCTTGTCAGAGAATGTGTTCTTTGCTTATATCCTGATAAATGGTGTTCTGTGTAAAATAGAACATTTACCAATTTTGTTAACATCTCATCACTAGTTTTTCCTTACTTAATTTTTACATTTGGTTTGTGTTAATTTCTAAACAATTATAAAACTTCTTACAAAAGAATCTTAAATTATAAAAATGACACCATTTCAGTCTCTTAAAATTGTTGAATCACCAACACTAACACTTTTATCTCCTATAGAGCTAATTCACGATTAAAAGAAGAGTTGAAGACAGAGAAGAAATCTGGATTTTGGGACAATTTGGTTTTGAAACAGAGTACACAGTCTAAGAAACCAGATGAAATTGAAGGTTGGGAGCCTCCAAATTTTGCTCTTGAAGATGTAGCTGCTGATTCGAGTGACCCCATGAGTGACCATTTGTCTTGGCCAGGTTGGGAAGATCATACTAAAGGCTCTACTAAGTATACCACTCTAACCAGCTCAGGAAATAGCTCCAGATGGAGCATCAAGTCAGCTGGAAAATTGGTCAGTATTCGACGACAGAGCAAAGGTAATCTTACTGATGACTGGGAAGAATTGGAATGATGGTGTACAAAGAAATACTACAAAAAGGAGAAGCCCACTGGTTGCATATATTTTGAAACCAAAAATTTGCCTAATACTGCACCTTTGTATTTTACTTTATTAAAGATTCTTAGTTTGCTGTATCATGGCATTTTAATTAGTGTGTCGTTAAATTGTTAAGTCTGTTTCTCACCTTAAAAAGAATAGAGAATCTCTTTGTGCCTATATTTCATATTTGAATTATTTGTTGAATTTTGAAGTTCTAAGCATACTGTGATTCCTTAGGGAACATATACAGGGGTTGTACATTTGATTGCCTTATTGTAGAAATTTCTGTTTCTTAAAATCCGTATTTTGTTGAAACTGGAGATGCTAATTTTTGACACCATCCTATAAGATAGTAATGATTTCTGTTTTCCATAAAGCTAATTTCATACCATTTTTAGTTGTAATCCTTTAATTATTTTAGAATTTACATACCTTTTTCTTGAATGCAACACATATGAAGTCTGTGAAACACAGGAATGTAGCAGTTATGCAGTTTTCTTCTGTTTGAAAATTGCTATCCAGGTGGTATAATGAATATTCCAAAGGTTATGTAGAATGTTGTTTAATTTAGCAAGTGAATTTTTTTCTTATTAAATTTAAAAATATGTAAACAAATACTGGAGAAGCAAATGATATATTTGAATATATGATGTAAATGTTTAAAAATGTATATTCATCTGTTATCTAAGGAGGAGTAGCCTCTAGGGTACACATTGAATAGGTAATCTTTTTATTTTTCTTCTGACCTTTCAAATATTGATCTTTGTTTTCTAAATATTCGCTTCCTTTAATTAAAGAATTCTGTAATGTATACATTAATTTTAGTAAACTGATAGTCTTTAATTTTGTTTGTAAAACATTACCTTGCTCACTGTAGAATTCAAATGATATCAAATACTAAAAGTGCCTCTTTTCTATGCATGTTTGTTTTTTTTTTTTTCCAAAAATGAGATAATTATTGTGGCATTTTTCCCCTGTAAAAATCACTTATAGTTAATTTGAGAGCACTGCCCAGGAGTTCTCACTATCTCTAGACTTATCGCTGTTGACAATGAATCTTTACCAATGTGACTCTTTTCAGTAAGTTGTGCAAATGTCTGTCTTACGTAAAAATGGTTCTATAAAACATTTCTTTTTTCTTAAAAACTGTATAAATAAATTTAAAAAAACCCACCTCTTCATCTACACTGTGCATTCCCCTTTGTAGAGGACAGGGGAGCCCACATTGTTCACTTTGCCCTTCTGCGCCATTTCATTCAAGTAGATGTTCCATTTAACATTCCTGTGGAATATCTGAACATGCCTGATGGCAAAACACATTGTAGCGAGTGTAACATAGCATTTAAATGATTACATATATTTTTAATAGAACAAGAACTTTACTTGACTTAGTCTTCAAAGAGGGACATGTTTTAAGTGTGGTAGAATACTTTTTTTTTGAACCTTGGCATTATGGAGGTTGTCTTTGTTTCATAATTACAGACGAAGTCTTTTCCTTTTTAATGTACCAGCTGAGTTGAAAAATGTCAAATTTTCTTCAGTAAATCATTTGGTATACAGGTTAATCTTCAATCTCCTTAAAGAAATGTTTTCTGTGATTATACTAATAAAGAGCCAAGTCAGGGTTTATGCAGATATTTTAAAGGAGGAGAGTGGGTTTATATTTGACTAATACTATCTTGAGGCACAAGAAATTATACAATGTATTTGAAACTCTGGAAATAAACTAATGTGCAGAGGTCAGGAATGCCATCTCTCCCACCTTCTGGGAAGCTCTGGATAGTGTGAGCAGCTGCAGCTTGTTAAAACTATATTGTAATGTTAAGTGCCTGTAATTCACTTGGGTAATATATTTGCAATGTATATTTGGCAAAATATTATTTGTAATACTGGTTCACAAAATTTGAAGGCAAAAATGGATTGAAATTAGAATATAAACTATAAGTCAAATTGTTTTCTTATCTATAAAGATTTAGCAATGTAAAATTACCTTCTGTGTATCTGATTAAATTAAAGTGATTGTAATATAAATATTTATTGGTGTGCTTTGAAAGCAAGATATTTTTTCATGGAAGAAGAACTTACCAAAGCGAATTTCTTTGTTATGTTCACGAAATAAAGAGAGAATGAGGTTCTGACTGGGGGGTTCTGTTTGAGTTCTGTATACAAACAGGGTCATTTATTATGTGAAGAAAGAGTCATCTATATTCTTTATGAAGTTGTTTTATTTATAATTTTTTTAAAAATAATTGACTTCAAAGAAAGTAGAATTCTTATTGAGGTTTCAAAAAATAAAAATATTGTTTTTACCATCTATCAGTTCACATGATTATTGGCATCTGTTTAAAGGTGAATGCTTAATATAGTTTTAATGAAATAATTTAGAGGTATTGACACTTATATTGAATTTTTAAACTCATCTTAAAATGCAAATAGTTCATGTACACTTTTTCATAAATAAATGATGATTTTTAGCTTACGTTTTTAAGATGTGTCCTTTTCGTATTTGAATTGCCATATTATGCTGTTTTTCTGTGACTAAATAACTTCTTGCCTAGGACTGTGTGTGTATAATAAGCAGCCACTGCTTATTGTGAGGTGCTGTAATGTTGGTTTCAACTGAGTGGTCCTGTTTGCAACAATAAAATGTTGCTGCTGCATTCTCACTGTCCTTACAGTTCCTAATGTGCCTGAGCTCACTGTACAGCTGCTGTGTCAGTCCATCTGTTGAAGGTCTTTATCTTTTTCATTGACCTTCTCCCAAACATGATGGCCTTCTCTAGGGATTAATTCCTCCTGTTAATAGGCCTGTAGTATCTGAAGCAAAGTCTTGCCATCTCTCTTTTGAAAGAATGTGTCTTCTAAGATAGGTTTAGTTGTTCTTTTAGCAATCTGTGTTCTTTGCCAACACAATTTCAGAAGCATCAAACATCCATTCTTCTTTGGTCTTTATGCATGGCTTAGCTTTCACATGCGTATGAGGATCCAGAAAATACTATGCCTTGACTGGCATGCCTTAAGCCTCAAAGTGATGACCTTGCTCTTTAGAACTTGAAAGAGATGCCCTTACTTCAAGTACTCAATTCAGTACCTTATTTAATTTTTTGACTCCTGCTTCAAGGAGCTACTGAGCTCCTCCTAATACCTATCTCATAGGGTACATCCAAGTTAGGAATTCTGCTGAACAGGACTTGGCATATACCCTGGTTTTGTGGTGTTTTTATGTTTGTTCCCCTTTATTGTCAGTTACCTAATAAGTTAGATCTTTAAGCATAGTTTTACTTCTCAATATCCAGAACAGAATGTATTAGCAATAGCAATATACTTTTGATGGAATCCTTACTGTGTGGGGGTTTTTTGTGCTCCCCCCTTCTAAGATAGTACAATCTCTTAGAAAAGGCTTTTTTACTATGACTTATTTTGGAAAGTAATATTAACTTTCATTAAAAACTGGTTAGAAGTGCGATTAAACCCTCAACACTTTGCTGTTAACTTTTGAAACACATAAACTGTTTCCTTCTGGAGAGAAAGATGTGATAGAGATATACAGCCTTGGCCATCCAAAGAGGCAGTTCTGTTCTGTCTTAAGAGGTCTCTTTGAAACAACAGGTGAGAAAAGCAAATAGCATTGAATAGAAATGTCTTCATCATCTATGTACTTTTAGAGTACAGATAATTTTTGGGAATTTATAGTGTGAATGGAACCATTTGGTTATAAATTCAACATCAGTTTTCCTTCCTGGCAGAAAAGTATCCTAATCAGCTGCGTTTCAGACTTGCATTATTTTTCTGTTTGACTATGACCACATTTCTATGGATATCACTGGAAAACCTTTTTTCAGTTTGCTTTGTTTCTTAGATTTATGATTTTGGGTCTACGGTGTGTGTGTAGCTCTGGTGGCCTCATGGTAAGCAGCTGCCCTGCAGTCCCAAGGGCGGGAGAAGGTGGGTAATCTCCCATCCTGGTAGTGCAGTTTACTGCCTCTGAAAACCTGCGGAGGATCAGCTATGAGTCATTCTGACTTGACAGCAAACAGCAACAACAAAGGGGTGTGTATGTATGTTTTACTTCTACTTCTGTCTCATGATCACTGTCTTGATTTAGCTCTGTCCACTTTCCCTGCTAAGGGCTTTATAGGGCAGTATGTCCTTGGCCCAGTTCTTCTATACTCTTCCTCAAAGAGGAGTTCTGTAGAGAGCTGAACTGCTAGCCAAACAGCATGCCTGCTTCTCTGCAGCTGTCCGTGGAAGAAGGATGAACAGTCTTCACTATACAGCCTCTGAACACTCATTGGAGAATTAGCTTTGAGTCAGTTTGACTTGGCAACAGTGACTGAATATTGATAATGGCGTGCCCCTTTCTAGTATGCCCATCCTGTCTTACCTCAGAGTGTTCCTCTTTTAACCAGTGACCACTGCTGACAGTTCTTTTCCACTAGTTATTTCTGCTCTGTCTCCGCACGTGTAATATATTCTTTAAGGATTTTATTGATTTCCTCACTATGAGTAAAAGGTTAAAAAACAAATTCATTTTTTTTAAATCATACACATTTTGCTCTCTGACATTAATTCCAATCCCCTCAATGTAGTATTTCCCCTACCTTGCTATAATTCTGATTTCCATTAATCCTGAACCTTGTCTTGATTTAGCGCTGATAATCACCTTATTTATTGCCTTTCCCTTAACCCACCTTAATATATGTCTCATCAGTTTTCTAATTTTTCTTCCCTCTAACTCCTTTCCCATCCTTGGTCGCCATGGTTCTGTGTATAAACCTTTCTTTAGCTTTTTATATATCCACTGGTATTTTACTCCCAAACTCAACATTTCCTTTCGTTTTTGAAGATTTCATCTGTCAAGTGTAGACTGACCTCTCAAGCTTTTCTTCAGGACTCACTTTTCTATATCTTGTCCTAATTTTAGAATTGCTGCAGGTACCTTGTGGAAATACTTCATAACAGTTTCAGACTGT